TGTGTGATGGAGGCAAAGGCGAAACATTGTCTGCTAGCAGCATGGACAGCAAGTCTCCACGCCCTCTCCAAACATCTGAAACCAAGACCCTCATGAGATGATTGGCTAAATGATGAAGACTGACCCTGAAATCAAGTGAATTATTCTTATGAAAAATGTAATTATGGATTAAATTGAATCGCTTGTATTTTGTCCAGCCCCTGCCTCAGCTAACTGCATGTCTGTGGACAATGAGATGAGTATCCAGAAAAAAACATGCAGCTGAATGCATTCTCTCCCTGTCTCAGAATGTTCAAATATCTCTATACCTCCATTAGCAGACTTACCAATAACCAGCCATAGTCTAAATCCAGCCAGGCCCTTCTACAGACAGGCAGGCAGGCAGACCGGTAGGCAGATAAGCAGACAGACAGGTAGGCAGGCAGATAGGCAAGCAGGCAGAGCGACAGACAGATAAGCAGACAGACAGGCAGGCAGACACGCAAGCAGACAGACAGGCAGGCAGACAGAGCGGCAGACAGATAAGCAGACAGACAGGCAGGCAGGCAGACAGACAGGAGTTATTGAGATCAGATTTTACTGCTTAGGATTACTTGTAGGACCAGAGTCTTGATGGATGCATTTAGTTTGATTTGATTAGTTATTTACATATATTTGATGGCCTCTATATTTTTTAACCACTTGACAGTGGGTTTGTGTTCTGTGTTCAGACTTATTGTCATGTTGAAAAGTTAACTTGCTACTCGCTTGAAGCTTTCTTGCTGAGATCAGCAGGTCTTGGTCAGGAATATCTGTATTCCGCTGCTGCCGATTCCCTCCACCCCCCGCCCTGAGAAGGTCCCTGCTCCCCGCTGAGCAGAGTGATACCATCCCTTCGCTATTGGCTGAGGACGGGCTGCTTTGGCGGTGTGTGCTATCGGATCTTCTCCGACCTGCATACTGCATTCGGGCCGAAATGTTCCATCCTGAATTTATCAGACCTCAAAATGCATCTACACAGCTTCAGCATCTCCACAGTGAACTTTTGCAAACCTCCGAGTGAGAGAGGATACCTGCACTTCTTTCTCCTTTCCGAAATCGTGGGTATTGTTGCCCACACAGTTACCAGTCATTGACAAATATGCCAAAATATACGTTGTGCTTCTGAAATCCATCCACACATCTGTCCCTTTCCACGACAGTATCTTTTCTCCCCCTGTAGTTCATTCATTATGCAAAATTTACTTCACTCTGCAACAGTGAGGATGTACAACAGCTGATATTGACCTGCATCTCTGAACTCAGGTTGGGAGAGAGTTAGCTAGCTGGGTAATTTCAGAGGCAATTTTTAGCACAAAAGCTAATTTCTGCTATTAAGCAGCATGTACACTTATCCAAAAGATTTTCCATTTTTTAATTCTTGGAATGTTCAAGCATATACATTGCAGTCCATCTGAGGAGGAGGACCTGTGATGTATATTGCTGTCTGGCAGAAAAAATGGTCCTTCTCAATGGGTGCATAGACTCTATATGGACAAAAATCTCTTTATACCTGAAGGTCTCAGTACATGCGACACCCATTTATCTTTTAGCTGCTCTTCCAGTGCGGTGTTACTGGGGTCCTCCAAGTATTTACATGAATATATTTAGCAGACATTTTTATCCAAAGTGACATAATTTCTTAAGAAAGAAGGATTTAAGAGGGACCCTGATCAGGGGCCCAATCAGCCTAGGGTGATTGAACCAGTAACCTTCTGATTACAGACCCTGCTGAGCCACACCTTCCCCCCCCTCCCCAAAGCATAACCCACACCCAGTCTATCCACAAGATGTGCATATAGCCACACACAAAGACACAAACACATGTGGCCATTTAGAGACATCAATTCATCCGGTAGCACGTCTTTAGACAGCGGGGGGAGAGTGCCGTCCTCAGAGGATGCCCGTGTGCCAACCCCACATGCTGAGCTGGAGTGGCATTTAAACAGTACTGCCCGCTGTGTCTTAGTGTGCCATCCTGTGCCCAGCACACATAAAGGTTACGGGGAACAAAGCCGCCGTTAAACCCTGCAGAGGATTAGTGCTGGATTAGTACTCTGTCACTTTCTTCAGATGTTCCAGGCATTCAGGCAATGCAACGGATGACTGTAGCTCTGTGCATCTATGGAGAGTTTACATTTTACTCGTAATATCATTTCAGAGTAAAAATAAAGATGGTTTCCTTTGTCCCTGATGGGAACGGAGGTGTGATATTGGGTTATATAAATCAAAACACTGCCTGGAAGATCTGTCTACTTGTCAGACACTGACTGAGAAACATCAGTGCCGTCCGCCCAGATCGAATGGCTATTGATAAAATAGATTTCAATTAATGAAAATGTGCTATGAAATAGTGGCTTTAAGGTTATTACTGATTGTTCATGCGTCACTGTCATTATTGTTCTCCTGCTGGGTTTCATGGATCGTTTAGCATTCAGAGGCCTTCAAAGCAATGTTTGGTTAGAGATATGTGACATCAATCAAAGCCATCCAGAAAAACATGTTCGGTCCTCCTTATCAGATTTTTTTCCAATAGGATTTTAAAATGTAATAACTGTTAATTGAATTGGTGGCCTGCTGGGTAGCCCTGTTACATCTTGCCTCCAGGGCTGGGGGTTTGAATCCCATCCCTGCTCTGTGTGTGGAGTTTGCATCTCCTCCCAGTGCTGTGTGAGCTTCCTCAGGGTCCTTAACTAACTTTCAGTCTGCACAATGGAAGCCAAAAGCTTATGATATGATTTATTTAGAGCTCTGAGATGCATTTCATAAACTTTAAATTAAAAACTGCATCTAAAGTAATATATGCATATGAATACAGTGGAAGCTACCGCCAAGTTGTGTAAGGTCGTCTGTGTTGGGTAGCACCCATCTTCTGTAACCACTTTTCCTAAGCAGGGTTGCAGAGGGTCTGGAGCCTATGGGCACAAGGCAGGGAAGAACCCAGGATGGGGCGCCAACCCATCGCAGGGCACACTCACATGCAGCTTGCTAACTCCAATTAACCTCAATCTCCCAGGTAGTCAGTATAATGATCACTGATTCTGATTGGTCAGAGGCTTCACACCTGGCTCATAGGTTAAAGGAAGGCTGGAAAACCAGCAGTGCTCAGACCTTGAGGACCGTGATTTGAATAATAGGGGTTTAGACCGTGGGGGGAATCCGGTTTCCCCGGGGAAACCCCACCATGACACGGGGAGAACATGCAAACTCAACACACAGAGAACCCTGGTCCCACCGGTGTGAGGCAATGGTGCTAATCACCACGCCATTCTGCCACCCATGTCGGATGACATCCTTTAATCAAATGAAGGGCGTTATTCATATTGCTCTGGGGTGAGGCTTCTTTAATGAAAGTCTCCTGGGACAGTACAGAAATTAACTGCATTTATATGTTTAGCAGGCAGTTTTGTCCAAAGTGCCATCGAAGAAAGCAGTCTGAGACAGTTCCTGGAGCAGCTCTGGTTATCTGCTGGTCTGAGTTATCTGCTCCGTGGCTCAGGGGCCCAACTGTGAAATCACTCTGCCAGCCATAGGATTTGAACCAGCGACCTTCTGATCACTGCATCTTAACTCTCAGAGTCACACACCACGCATCAGGCAACGGCAACAAAACGAAAAACAAAATTTCTACACAAATTCCTAAGAGTGCGACTCCTCCTGCGCCTGCCTGGCCAGCACTATCAGAAACTTAACGATGTCACTTCAGTTGGTCCAATCGGGGAAAACTCACTTCCAGTAATTGAGGTACCTGTGGCCACGGGCTGATGAATAAGCAGAACAATGTTAGGAAAAAAAACACCCAAAGCAACCCAGAATTATTGAGGTGCCTCCCGGAGGCTCGGTGTAGCTAATAGGAAAAGAATGTAATTTCAGGGGTTATAACCTCTGGTATTCTATGGCGAGTGTGATAAAGTGCTGTTTGAATGCCGCCAGTCTTCTAATTAGCGTAATTCATGCTTCTGGAGTCGTTAAGGCTCTGATTAGCTGACGGATGCATCTTTGACCAACCTGTTGACCCGCGTTTCCGTCTCCCAGCTGTCTCGTCAAACCTGCCCACTTGAATGAAATTCTAAACCTCAGCTTGCAGACCTCGGCCCGCCCTGTCAAGGGTGTCATAGTCATGGTGACAGTGACACGCTCCTTCCACTCCTGGTTTATTCCGCTGAAGAGGGTAGACTTAAGCCGCAGCGATGGCTTTCGTGTGCGATACACGCCGGTGACTCGCTCTCGCTAAAGGGGCTTCAGAGTTTCCGTTTCTATGCGCCCGAGTCACTACTTACCTCCCGTTGTATATTAATTGCTTATTACTTTGACCAAAGTGTTGATTGCATGGGGACATTTGGTAGCAAAAGTGCCACTTTGCAATCATCGCACTGATAGCAATGGTAAGACGCAATGGGCTAATTAGTGAGTTTCTACCCAGGCATCACCCGCAATTTCCATTTAGTAAGTCAATCTCTCACCGACGACTCGCTGTTCCATAGAAAAGTGTATCTTTGTGCCTTTAGACGTTTACGAATGCGTGTGTCTCATAGGAGGGCAAGATGAAATATGCAAAGATGGAATTTCATTATACTTGCTACATGTACAATGACAGTAGCGGCATTCCATTCTATTTAAAAGTACAGATACATAAGGTCTCTGTTATTACCAATTTACTAAACTGTATTCTTCTGTTTATTTTGCAGCAAATGTGGTACTTAATTATGTTCATGTTCATGTTGTACATAATGTTTACGGGATATTTTTGGTTCGTTTTGCATATTAAGCATAAAGGTTAGTCATGGTGCGCTGTTATCGCAGTAATATTCCAGTTGGCATTCGCTTTATATGTTTAATATAGGCGTTTATTTTTTTTTCTTGTTTTCTGACTCACAGCTGTAGCAAACCCATATTGTTCATGGGGAGATATTTCCCAGTAATCTTTGCATCACAGAAGGCAGTGGCTTTAGGATTCATAACTCTGCCTGTCTCTCCTACAGGACAGTGCCACGATGCAATTCTGTGCCAATAAGCTGGACAAAAAGGACTTTTTTGGCAAGTCGGACCCCTTCATGGTGTTCTTTAGGAGCAACGAGGATGGAACGTGAGTGTGGTTTTCTTGCTTTGGGTCGACCGTAAACAAAACGCACGTGTTACAGTAATCAAGCATTTGACAGACGCTCTTTCCAGTGGCCGGGAAACACAGAAAACCCACAACCGCAGCATTTGTTTATTTTTGTCTTCGGTTTATTCAGCATTGAATAATAATCAGCCTCACAAAGGCACCATGTTATTGTCAAATGAAAATTTGCGCCCCAGGCAGGCACAGCTGAGCTGTCCAAAATAGACACTGTGTTCCCATTGGCGATTAAAGTCTGTCTGGGTGACTCTGGATCTGCAAACCAGAAGCGTGAGTGATTTTAGCCATCAGGCTAATAGGGCACAAAACCGTAACCTCTTATGTCAACTTTCTGTGGTAAACAGCAACAGACATAAACACACACTAAATGGTGCTAATCAAGCTTGTCTAATGGTACACCATTGAATAATGTCTCTCTGAACTAAGTGAGGGAACAATAAATTGCTCAAAAGCCGCATTAGTGATTAGCTGAGCTGTTGAATGCCTGTCAGCTCCTTGATCTCCTGAAGGTCAAAATAATGCATTTGCAAAGATATTTATTTTGGCCTTGCAGAGGTGTGCACTGTCTATATACAGTGTGTCATGTATAAAATGGGACAAAGCGCACAGGGCAGCGATGGTACACGCCGTCCATCCCCAGCGTCTACCTGCTCAGCGTCCAGGGACTGAGCTCCAGCCCTCGTAAGACAAGCGGATAAAGGGCAGAGATCCTGCTGACAGACAGAAGCACAACGCAAGCTACCGTCTGCCTCTCGCTCTGTATCTGAGGCACTTCAGCGTCACATACCTCATTTGCGGTGCCGTACTTAATATTCCATGTCTTTTTGTAATCAGTGTCTTTTTTGTGCTGAAAGATGACAATAAATGCAGTATAATAAGTGTATGTGTGCGTGTGTGTGTGCATGTATATTTATTAAAAGCGCCTTTTATGATAGCTTGTTATATACAAGGCAAAATTGGAACTTTTTATGGATTAAACACATCATTCATAAAAGTGTTTAGAGCAATACATCGATTTGCTAAACAGTTGCTATTAAGAGTTTAAAGGCTTAGCTGAATCCATCGCTGAATATACAAAGAAGTATCTTAATTGATGTAGGAACTATGCAGAAGGCAATTTCTATGCACAAGGCCATATAAAAAAAAAAACATGTTTAAATCATGTTATTGTCATATTTTAAGGGTCAGATATTTTGGATTTTTTTTTCCAGTCAGACTTTAGGGAACAATGTAAATTTTACTGTATATACACAATAACGATTTAGAGGACACGGAAGACAGCTCATGGGAAAAACATCTGTGCCACTGTGGGACTGATATATTTTCCTTACATGGAACATTGGAAATGACAGAAATGCATCCGACCTGATGTTGCCATCTGTTTTCCCGCATGTTACTAATCCGACACGCTACGTTTTCAAATCTGCTTAACATACCGTTTTTTTTTTTTTACTTATAGATTCTGTCTTGATAAATTAAAATGTGACAGTGTTCACACCCCCTCATGGTTTACACCCACGATTCCCGTTGAGTCTGCTTAGTCAAACGCGGACTCGTCCTCTGCTCCTTGCGAAGATGCGTACATGTGCTCGCCCAGTTGGAAATCCCTTTCTTACGTTTAAAGACAAAGGTGTCCCGATGAAACGCCCCTTAAATGTGTCTCATGTTGCCCCCTAACGAGGCCTCCAACAGAGCGACAGCCTGCAAAATGTCATCCTAAAAAAGCACAAAACCGGACTCGTCACTGTTTAGAGGCACCGATCACCTCTTATGGGCGGGAGTGAGAATGCAAGGTAATACGGAGTTTGGGTCCAGCCTGTGATCATTTATACAGTATCAGTTGCCATAGGCAACTATGGAGCATAAAATAAGTCTCTGCTGATGGTTATAAAATAGCGCGTTGCTGCGTGGTTTTTCTGAGCTGGGAGGCGGGTGGCAAAGAGCTCTGTCGCTCATAGCTGAAAAAACTTGCCTCTCTTGATTGTGATCTCCCCTCCCCCCCGTGCTCAGGTTCACCATCTGCCACAAGACGGAGGTGGTGAAGAACACGTTAAACCCCGTGTGGCAGCCCTTCACCATCCCGGTGCGGGCGCTCTGCAATGGCGACTACGACAGGTAGGGCCGGCCTTCCCTGTCCGGCAAGCTGTAGCCAGGTAGCAGCTAGCCTGCGCTGACGAGCGAGGGGTCGCACTCAAATAGCTGCTGTGTCCAATTCCCAGAAGATCCCTCCTGCTGTGACTCATGGTTACAGGCCGAACCTGAATCTGTTCAATTAATATATGTGGCTGTATAAATGGGGAAAAAGTAAAACTATCTGCTGTATGAGTTACTCTGAGATGGAAGTTGCCGTCCACCTACCAGGGATCTTCAGCACGCAGCAGAGTCACTAAGGAAATGGAGACGCTGGCCTTCAATCAGGCAGCGTGATTTACCTTCCTGTGCGGGCAGGAGGACCCCGAGAGATTGTGTGAATGAGGCTGATCTCCAGTGTGGCCCGTCGCTGATCTGACTGGGGATTGAATTTGTGGCGGAGATGAGCCGCTGATCTCTAGCCATGTGAATGTCATAATCCCCACCACCCCCGGGAGAAGCCTGACATGGGGCTGGGGGCGATTCCCTCAGCTGCGGAGGGGGGGCATGGTCTTGGTGTTGCTTTACTAAACGAAAGTGATATCCTGATTACAAAAGCAAGTGGATACTCAATTAAAAAGTGAAAATGTTTTTCTCCGGCGTGCACGATTAAAGGAAATGTTTACTTGGCTCAACATTTTTCATTAGGCCTGGATTTTCATGTTTACATATAAAAGGCGCGACTATAAATAAAAGGCTTTAAGACTGAAATGTGTTATAATAAATCCAGATAAACCTCTAGCATAAGTATTATTTAGAAATTAAAGCCATCAGTACTAATAAGGAGTGAAAGATTTGGACCTGCTTTATTTGACTTGACGCTCTTTAGTAGCGAAGCAGCATCTCTGAGTCCCATTCGAGCTGCATGGATCCATCTGGTGCTTTTAGCTCAAACGAATCGATCCCTTTATATTCCTCATCAAAAGCTTTGTCAGGATGAGACTAATGTGAAACTGCACTGACACAGATGGTTAGTGGCGCTGTTAGGGTACAGCTGAGAGTAAACATTGTGCCGAAAACCCAAAGAAGCCTTTCTGGGGTCCAGCTGTGCCGTGGTTCTGTCCCTCAGCTGATGGACAAATAGCACTCGCTAAATGCTGCTTTTCCTGACAGCACGTCTCCGAAACGTCGGCAGAACGGCCTATTGGGTTTTCTCCCGGGAAAAAGGAATTAGTGCTTAGACCGCTGTTTTACAGGCAGACCGACAAATCGTCTCATCTTTTGTGTTTCTGGTCCCAATGGAAGCTGGTCCCAGGAAAGTGGCAGAAAATGAATTATAATTATTCCACCTTTATGTTTTCTGGAACAAGATAATCTTAAATAACAGCCATCCTAGACCTATGGCTGTAGAACTTATGCTTCTACAGTACCATCAAAGTAACAATAATCGAGTGAAAAACCCTTTTAAATAATGTAAAATCTGAAGATGTCTTGGTGTCTTCAGAAACGTTAAAGATTTGCAGACAGATTAATGGAAAATGCCTTTGATCTCTTCCTTTTATTTTTGGAAAGATTCTTATTTCAGTGATTTAAGTATAACTATTGTTCTCTATTTTTTTTAATTGACAAAAAAATTCCATTACATTAAATATCTCAAAAACAACGGCTGTCACATGCCAATGTGTTTGTTTTGTTGGCGGTATTAAGTCCACGATCCAAGACATGAAAGCTTTTAACCTCTGTGTGAAGATTAAAGTATCAGAGGAAACCTTTTGCTTTGTAAGGATACCATTAGACTTAAGTGCCTCATCATCATCAGAGAGGCCAGCCTGAATGATTGGTCCCCTAACTCTTAAAGTGACGGCATTTCAAAAACTCACTTGAGCCTTGAATTCCTGGAAGTGGTTGATGCTTCTCTTTCAGCTGGGTGAATCAGGACAGACTGAGCATAATTACCATAAAAGTGAAAGGCTACTCTGCAAATGCATTAGATATGAGAAGCTGATAGCTTGGAATAGATGGACGAAAGTTAGTGCAAAGTGTGTTTTAAAAGCATAAAAGAGATCAAGTGTCAAGTCGTGAAGCCCATTGGCCAATGTAAATCCAGGTGTTTCCGATTCCAAAGCAACACTATGTGACTTTCTCACTGCGTAAGGTCTGTAACTGGTCTTGGTTCACAGAAGAGTAATTATCTTCTACAGTGGCATCAGTGAACTTGAAAGCCACAGTTATTCTGACCAGGACAGCCTTGTCTTTGCACATCCCTGTCCTCCTGCTCCAAGCAGAGGGTTCCCCAGGACGGCGGTTTCGGGGAGACCCGGTGGGAGAGGTCTGGCGGTTGCTTGGTCTCAGTCCAGTGTTTGTCATCCCAGTCCTCAGGGACCCCCAGTCCACATTTTTGCTCCCAACACACCATTCTTGGTTGGCTGAGAGCCTGTGGGGAGTAAAAATGTGAACTGTCTGGCGGTCCCTGAGGACTGATTCGAGAAGCACTGCCTGTAAATGTTGGGCGGTTTAGTTGCTCCACAGCTAAGGAAGCTGAGCTCCTTCCCAGGAGCGGCTCCCCTAGCTGCTGACTTGTATACTGCGCCGTATCTATTTTTGCTCTGCAGTTGGGAGAGATGAGTGACAAGAAGCCTGCAGCTATCTCGTCTCCTGTCGTCTCTTCTGCACCCCCTGCTGGTCCCCCCCCCCCATACCCACGGGCCCCACCCTATGCGAGTGCCTGCCCAGGGGTGGCGGGTGAATCATGCCCTGAAAGAACATGTCACCATCTCCCTTTTTTAAAGGAATGATATTGATTCCCGCACTTCATATATGCTCTTGTCCCAAGAGACTTAAATCATATATAAGCCGTAAGCTCTCTCTTTCAAAGTGACCTACATAGATTGCAAGTGTACATGTAACACAGCTATTCAGCCGGATCTTTTACCGAAGGGATTCAGGCTGATCTGAGTGGTTTGATATGACACACGATGAGCAGATACGCTGATGCTCTTCTGGATGCCTTGCAGGACGATCAAGGTTGAGGTTTACGACTGGGATCGGGATGGCAGGTGAGTCAGGGGCCAAAGAGCCGTTACATCTCAGCCTGGTGGGTTAGGAACCTGGGACCTGACTTGTTTACACAGGTGTCTTGGAGGTTTATCTGGTTAAAACTAGGTCCTTCTCTTTGTTATGCATGTTCCCTCAGCATGTATTGTGATGGTTTATGCCTGCGCTACAGGTTTACTTGTAGTGATCATGCTTTAAGTGTGGTGCCACCATTCAGCTGGCCTTCTATTACTTTACCCTCTTGGATTATGTGGCAGCCATACCAAGTTCTCCCTCGGGGTAATTAGGGGTAATTAGGCACATTGTTTCCATGAGCCGGCTCTCCCACAGACTGATAACCGATGGTGGCCTTTCTCTGCATGTCCAGATGTTCTTCTCTGGGAGACACTGATGTGTGTCTGTCTCTGCCTGCAGCCATGACTTCATTGGCGAATTCACGACGAGCTACCGAGAGCTGGCACGGGGCCAGAGCCAGTTCAACGTCTACGAGGTGAGTGGCGCCGCGCCGCTTATCAGATTCTGGCCATCTGGGAGTAAAGCAGCTGTTCCAGATGTGAAACGCGAGCCCATGCCAGTCTGACGTGCACTTTAACAGCCCGATTACCCAGCATGCAGCTGGCTCTGGATTTGCTCGCCTGTTTGTTGCCCACGACTCCTGCAGCCTGAGCTCGCAAGCTAATGGTGTTGCTGATTGCCACGGAATTGAATCTGATGCCAGATTCCTCTTCACGTTGGGATTTAGACCTGTCGCTGATCTGCACGGCAATTTATTCCATGCATTACCAAATGAATTGTTTTAAAAGTACTATTGTGTTTGTTTTCTCGGCATAAGCAAAAGGCTGTTTGTGTTCTCTATTGCTCCCCTGCTCTTCTCCCCATGTCCTTTTGAGATGCTGATCAGCAGAACGAAATTAAGTTTGTCTGTGGGAAAGTTTGTGATCAGAGATTAACAGGAGACCCAGGGAGGGAGGAGTTATCAGATATATTTCCCAACGGTAGTCCTTCTCAGTATACCTGGGACTGATTCACTTGAGGAGAATATGAGCTGTGTTAGATTACATGGTGAAACCATGGAAATGTTCGCGAATGAGCCTCATGCTTCTTGTAGACGTTGGGGGCATCGCGATGAGACGGCACTCCTGTGTATTGATGAGTGGACCTCGCTGCTTGGTAAATAGAGCCCCAATTTACCGCAGTGGGCTTCATAAGCGCTATCAATGACAATCCCGGCCCATTTTCACCTGACGAGACGTTCGCATAATCATCCGAGCATAGTGATTCAATTACTGTATCTCACTATGCGTAGTGCAAGGAGCCACGGGGGCCGGCTACAATAAAGGAGACGAGAGCTTCCGTGTCTGATGGAATCCTCAAGTGGATTTAATCGGGAATGATCTGAAAAAAGTTTTTCCCTCCACGGCCGGGTTCTGGAGCAGATTAAACGCACTGGAGCGTGACAGGAGATGGGGTGGATGGAGTGCATCTCTCATGGGGTGTGAGGAGGGGAGGGTCCCCGAAGTTTCTGCCAGCTGCTGCTGTTTCACGATGTGGCTCTCATTAAGATTCCCCGGTCCCGTGTCTTCGCGAAGGCCAGGTTAGAAATCATGTTGCCTCCATATGCTTTTCTGTGTAATGTCCATTTCTTAATTCTTAGATAATTTTAATACCTTTAGATGCTGTCTGATTAATTATGGTGAGAAGAACCTGTTATTGTCACAAAGCTTAGGCCTGCAGTTCGTAACGATCGTGAGAAAGAGGGATCCTGTGTGTGTTTTGACGCAGACAGGAGGCCTGGGACTGGTCTGGGGACCTTGGTGTCACCCGCTAGGTTGGAGAAACATGGAGGTGTGACATGAATGTCAGATTTGACTGGCAGTCAGTATGAAATTCCGTATCCATGTCACGGGAACAATGGCAGCTGGTAACTATAGACGTATCCCCTGACAACCCCTCCATCTGACACCTAGTAATTGGTTTCCGCGGAAACGAGCCACCCGTCGCATCCTCGGATGCCAGCTCTGCCCCGAACATGGCGCCTCCCTTCCTAGGTGCCCTGCCGTGTGCGGCATCTTCTCCTCGTGCCGGTGAAAACTCGCAGGGTGTTGGTGTGGAGGGCGTGCCAGATATAAACAGCTCCTCCCTTCCCCTGAGAACGGTGCTGGTGGTAGTGCAGCGTATTTCAGGATGAACCGCCTCATCTCCATCCCAAGCCTGGCTTTCTCACGTTAATTGCCACACAGAGAGCACCATCTGCAGGTGGGGGTTGATTGAGACAATTGCAAACTTCAATGAAGGGTCGGCGTCCCGCTTCCCATGCGGTGCATCTTTCATGGTGGAGATGCAGGTGCGGATGCGCAGTGGGGAGGTCGACTTCGCTCTTCTGCCCCACTGGGCGCAGATGCGCTGCAGCGGTGCAGGTTTACTGGGTGCAGTCAGGCTGCCGCTTTCCTGCTCTCCAGGAGAATCGCCCTCTGTCACGCGGGCATCACCGTCGCTACCACCATCTCTGCCTCTGCCATCAGACAGGTGTGGGCGTGTCTTTCCACTGTTCTGATAATCTCCCTCTCCACAGCCTCTGTATTTTTAGTTCTTTTTTTAATGTAGAGAGAGAGAGAGAGAGAGAAAGAGAGAGAGAGAAACTGACAATGAAGGAGAAAAGTTCTGACAGAAGAATGTGGTCAGCGTTGTTCTGCAGACAGCTGGAGATTGACCTGCCGCTTCACATGGCTGCATGGTCTGTTATGCCTGTTATTTAAAAAGCCATCGAGGTTCCTACAGGGCCGCTGCCCCCCATTCGCTCTGCTCCTCTGCAAATGGAGGGTGGCTTGGTGCTAAGTGGAGGCTCCCTGCCTTTGCATCATGGGCTGGGCTTTGGTGGCACTATGTCATGTACCCACTGTGTGTGTTTGGCTTCTAGGTGGTAAATCCGAAAAAGAAAATGAAGAAAAAGAAATATGTGAATTCGGGAACGGTGAGTGTGCACGCGTCGAATCTCGACCATCCCTCCACCCATTCTGAACCTCCTGAGAGGTTTTAGCGGTACAGAAAAATGACATCCCCTCTGTGAACGAGCGCGTCATCGGCAGATTAGTCGTTATCCCTTTTCACACTTCAGGCTAATTTACATAGATTTCAAAAGGAAGAGATCGGTGTTGTTGTCTTGAGGTGTTTGTCGGTCGTCCCCGTGACGGCGTCTCAAAATAGCAGTGCTTGGCAACTGAGTTGCCGAGGCGATCCAGCGGCCATCCGTCACTACGGTCGGCAGATGGTGAGGTAGCCATGGCCAGCAGCCAACTGCCAGTCCACATTTAGAGTGTGGCAGAACGGTAACCGCTATCGATTGGTTGGGTCTGAAATCTCTCTCGGCTGCTGCTGTATTGGTCACCCAAGATGCTGTGACTTAAACCAGCCAACTAATCCTTGGCCTCACTGAACTGCCAAGATGGAACATATTATAGGTTTGCTGGATTTGTCAGAAATGTCATTTTCAACAAAGACAAGCCAGTGCTGAAGAAAGCCTGAGAACAGATCAGCCTATGTGAATGCACATCTGCAGCCCCTATGAAGGTTGCTGGTTCGAATCCCAGGGCCAGCAGATTTGTTACACTGTCTCATCTTGCTTTCTGACCCTCACTTGTTTGTTGCTTTGGACAAAATTGTCTGCTAAATTAAACAATTTGGATATCCTGCCCTTCCCAATACAATTAGCAGCATGTTAATACGTGTAAGGTCTGCATTTCCTATTTGAGTTATATGTGATGCTTGAGATCGAATTGGCTCCTGTTTTCACACCAATCATTAAGGAACATGACACTTGTCTCACTTTGACTAGAAGCGAAGTGAGATGAGTAAAAAATAACACTATGAGGGGATTTCAAAAATAAAATCTGTCATTAAAAAAGCGCCTTTATTGGCTGATAATAGAGGTATTCCTCTTAGTCCCCAGCAAATATCATCAGCCATCATCAGCGTAGGCGGTAGCAAGGAGTGTCCGTGGTTTGCGAGGACTGATACTCATGGCGAAGCAATTAGATTGTTCTGGAATCATCCTGCCCACGCAACCAAGTCACGTTCTTTTTATGGCTTTACAGCTCAATTAGCGGAGTTATTAATCTTGTCTTGCCATCAATCTGCCAAGAGGCCCCATTACGCGTGCGAGGACGCGTCCACCGGCAGTTCTCTGCGGCTTTGATGGCTCCGACGTGTACAGAGCACTGAGCGCCGCCTCTCTCTCTGACCCCAAGGTGACGCTGCTGTCCTTCTCCGTGGAGTCGGAGTGCACCTTCCTGGACTACATCAAAGGAGGGTGAGTATGCAGGACAGGGCGTGCGCGCACACACACACACACACAGACAGACCTGTACTCATATTTTTGTGGGGACTGTCCATTCATATCTATCAGCAATACCAACAATGATAACCTTAACCCCTACCCAGCCCTAATCTTAAGCATAAGAAATCAAACAAAATACCGGTGTTTTGGCATTTTTAGTTTTTTGATTGCATTCACACATTTTAATAAAATTGAATTTCCTTTTGTAGAGTCCAAAAAAAATGGTCCCCACAACATCAAAATAAGATATAGATATAGATAAGATAAGATAAGATAAGGTTTTCATCACATTTTGGGGACTTTTGGTATATGATGCATGCAGAATTGCACGCGCACACCGGAGTGCACGGACACACGTGTGGAAATACACTTCTACGGGAGCGCATGGACACAGGTGTATGGAAATACATGTGTAGAGGAGTGCACAGACACACGTGTGGAAATACATATATACAGAAGTGCACGGACACACATGTGGAAAAACACACCCACATGAGTGCATGGACATGTGCATGGAAAAACGCTTGTACAGGACACTAACATGCAAACTAACCGCATCTACCAGTAGGCGAAGGTGCATCTTGATTTACATCTTTTTATGAAATACAGACATCTCCATCTTCTGAGAAAATTCTTCCTACAACAAAGGTGCCCTTTAATAATCATGTAACATTTCTCCCAGCCAGCAAGCCTTAGCTGTCTCTCTGCTTCATGATAGTAGAGGAGCTGCCTTCCCATTAATTTTGTGAACTTATAATAATAAGCACGACAGTAATTTAAAGGAAGGTAATTAAGGGGGAAAAATATGGCAATTGTGATAATAATGGCTATTTAATAATGCCGGGGTGGCACAAAGGTTGCACATCAAGAGAATGGCATAAATAAAGCTAGCAGCTTCTGACAAATACATTTAGCCAGCATGCTAAAGGCACCTGTGGGGTTTTCTGGGACGTTTTCGGGGCATTTGTAAAGATTTCAACTTGAAATGCCAGCTTAGCTGTCACTCTTACAGTCCCTTGCTGAGGACAGAGTTTAGCAGAACAAGGTCTCTCTTTCTGAGCTGGTATCAGTCAGACGACAGCTGGCGTTCTGAAGCGCAGCACGGGAAGTTTATCCCATTTTTTTAAAGTAATTTTCAGCAGGAAGCTATATTATGTCCTGCCTCTTCGAGATATGTTCGGCCGGGTTTCGCTGTCTAGCAAAATGCGTCTGTGCGTTTACGACAGCATGCCAGTGGCTAATTTCAATTCAGACTTTCCTTTCCATTCCCTTTAAAGTGCAGATTCAGGCGTGAGCTTGTAAAAAAAAAAAAAAACGGCGATGGCTGTCTTCCTGCATGCAAAGCAGATTCATGGAGTGGACCGTGTTCGCCTGCTTCCTTCAGAGAGAGATGCGAATGTGTGACAAGAAGGGGCATAACCAAAACAAGTCATTCAGCTAGAAGAACGAAGGCTTGTTCTTGAAAAACAGCAGATGGTTAATTAAAACTGTTTTAAATAGAATCTAACAGCCGTGGCCTTTATAGGGCTAAGAATCCACCTAATTCCTTTAAAATATACAAGTGTAGCGACCTTTTGGTGAATTTGGCTCTTTCAGTGAATGTGTCCAAAGAGCAGATGAGTCCATCCAGCCCTGAACACCGCGTGTGGCCCCTGGGTCATTAGCGGCTCTTTGGGTGGGACGTCGGGAGGAGAGTTCCAGGCAGGAGAGATGCGCCAGGGTTGTTTGTCTGGGGGCGAGTGAGCAGGAACAGGGGGCGCCGTGAACGTGGGAGGGAGGGAAGTCGCCGAGACCTTCTGCGACGGGCGTGCAGAGCAGGAGGAAACTGTCGTCTGATTGTAACACAGGTTAGCATGTCAGTTAGCATATGAAAAGATGATTAGGGCACAAGGCAATCATTTCTATTATAGCAGAGATGGAAAGGCAGTCCTGCCAACTGCGGTCTCGTTTGATTGGAGGGGGCGGCAGCAGAGGAGCAGTGATAGGCTGGGTACAGACATACAGCGCTGTGCTTTTACACTCCAGTCGGCGCTGTTGGCGTTGGGGTGCAGCATGTATGTGTGTACAGCATGCTTGTGTGTTCATACCACATTGTCCATACAGAGGTAAACATTGGCATGGACATAGAATAGGGCTGGACCTGGACCACAGTGCAACATACAGGCAGAGAGTGACAGGGGATTTCTAACGGTTTAAAAACAGCAAAACGCAGGAAATGGTGAAACATGGAGGCTGGACTTAAGAGACACACATAATCGGGGTTAGGGTATTTATTTTATTACTTATTAGATATTACGAGAAGCAAATGGCACCTTCATGAACGATCGCAAAAACCAGGCAGCTTTCTGACCTGATTTTTTGTTAGAACCTGGTTAATATTTAATCTGCAGCGAAGTAAGTGCCTATTTGTCACTTAATGAGTACTTCGTGAAACAGCAAAGCAAAGCAAGTTAAACTTCCAAACGCAACATTTGGCTCATGCGGCATAAATGGAGGGTGGGGGGGTGGGGGGTGTGCTTCCCCACATCCCTCCAAAACTGTGTTTGTGGATTGTCGGCGAGCACCTCTCTTTCTCCTCTGAGGGGGGTGGATGCTTAAGATATGCGATGGGTTAATTTTTCGGCTGTGGTTATTTTATTCTGTTATTTTCATTGAATTTACTCAAATTGATTCATTTTGTTATAACTGCAACAGTGTTTAAGACCCAGACGTAATGGATTTTGAGGGAAATTGACTTTCAGGAATATTTGATTAAAATATTACAGGTCAGAATGTGTCATTTGCACATAGCTGTGATGGTTAATGTAAAATATGTCACCTTTTAATGAAGGTTTTTCCAAGTACATTTTCTGACTGATGCCAGCTAAGAATTTCGACATGTTTTTTGTTTGTTAATTAACGGTTGAAATTTTACTTTTGCTTTTATGACCGTACCGGCTGTACATTATGCGGCACGTGGCAAGAACCATAACAAACCAATTGCACTGTCACTATGAAGGTGTAAATGTGTGCAATAGTATGTCTTATATAATAGAGTGTATTTGACTGCTGCCCTATAATGACTGAGATACATCCAGATTAAAGAAACCCGGATGTAAATTGAAGATAACTGTGTGTGTGTGTGTGTGTGTGTGTGTGTGTGTGTGTAGATGTGTGTATCCATAATACGGATAATCGAGTTCAGTACAAGTATGACAGATGGACATCTGTCTGATTGTGCCTCTCAGTGAAAAATGTAGGAAGTGTAATATATAATAAATGAGTATTAGCTGTGCTAAAGTGTAGCTATGCTAAACTTAGGGACTGACCCCCCCCCTTCCTGTGAGGTGGAGCTGTGTTTCTCTCTCCTCCAGGGACCCTTCTCCTCTTGTGTTCACACATTGGTGAATCAGGTCAAAATTAGCACATTTTCCCCTGTGATTTTACCATGTCCCAAAAACACCACCTATTCACCCCGGCCCCTTCCACGGCAGCAGCAGGGTGGGGTTGCTGTTTCTGGGGCTGCACTCAAAAAGACACATTAGCCCCCCCCCCCCCCACTCCCACTCAGATGTTAATGAAAAGAATTAAGAAATGAAATAAACAGCTAGCAAGTACAGTCTTGAGAAGATAGACGATAGTGAAGAGAGAGATAATGATTTTGAATATGAGCAGCAGAGGCACGTTTGTTGCATCTTGGGCCCCATTCAAAAAAGTCAACCCCCCCCCCCCCAGATATTTCAAAAACTAAATAAGAAGGTGGTAGTTAGCTAGCTGGTTAGCAGAACATGCTGCTTCAGTATCCCCTAAATAAGGAATTTGATTATTTAATGTTTAGTGTAGTGACTCTTTGTGGCCAACAGGGGGCTCAAACCGTGGGGTTGGGGGCATGCAAATGTTTGGTTTGAGTGGTGGTAAACACACAGGCAGTACAAATTAATTATGGGTGAGGAGGTGAGTTCGTCTGAGGCATTTGGGGTCTGGAGAAACGGCGACAAGTCGAGTGTGACCCCGGCTCGGGCCCCTGGGTGAGCACGGGGTGCCGCTCCATCAGCTCAGCAAAGTCAACACAGTCTAATCACTCTTCTTGTTTACCCCAATTAGCCACTGGAGGAGGCCCTGCTGCTGACTCCTCCCCACCAGGGACCCGCCGTGTCAGATGAACTCCTTTATTCTCACACTCTTTGCTTGTTTTCTCCTTTCAGGACCCAGATCAATTTCACTGTAGCCATTGACTTCACTGCATCTAACGGTATGTGACTCTCCTGTGGGTCCAAAACTCAGCCCTTAGCTGCGAACCATCTGCTCTTCCTGTTGTATGTTAGTATATGCTAGTATACTATGCCTCGTATTTGAATTTTATTATATGCTCTGGTCTGTGTTTAATTTTAGTATAGTATATCGAGTGTCAGTAAGCTTGATACAATTTTGAAATCACACTTGGAGATTGGGAGCAGTTCTTCTTTGGAAGACACTGTTTGAAAAGCTTCACATCACTTTAAGTGGCATAATTATTTTTAATTGTGCTTAGAAGCTACTCTGCCCTGAAGGAGGGTCAGTGATTGAAACAGGGGCGAAGTATGATTTTTGAGTTGCAGCTACTGGGGGCTTAGGGGGCGAGTGCACAGGAATCTTCACCTTTGGCCAAATAGAATGATTGTTTTCTGGGGCTGCTTCGCTGTGTGATACTTAACCCTCACTTTAATCAGCCATCTTTGTTTACCGCACACCATAAGAGCCACCGTTCGAAAGGCCAAACAGATGAGTCATTTCTGTGCCGAACACGGCGAACTCGCAGCCTGTCTTCACACCCTCCTGACCAGCTAGAATGTAATAATGTGAAACTGTTGACCTTTCTCATTTCAAGTGTGCTAACATGCACCAGCAATGCACTGATAAGATTTAAGCTCCTTCTCCATATTATTAGTGCTGATATATGTGTCATATCTGCTATGTTGGGTTCATAACTCATTCTGTTAGTGTCATCCTCTTTCTTACCTCTTACGAAGTGGATGAAGTTCCCTTAAATGATCACTGGTTACCTTTAGGCTAAAACTCAAGGCCGACATGCTATGCCAAGACCCCAGCAGAAAGAGAGCAGGTTTTTGGCTACCAGCCAGTGAATATCTAAAGGTAACTCCTGGCTTTGCCTGTGCTGCAGTGTTTATTGTGAGCCTTTGTCCCTCCTGCCCCACCCACAGGTAACCCCTCCCAGTCCACCTCACTGCACTACATGAACCCCTACCAGATGAACGCCTATGCCATGGCACTCAAGGCCGTGGGTGAAATCATCCAGGACTATGACAGCGACAAGATGTTTCCGGCACTGGGCTTTGGTGCCAAGCTGCCCCCAGATGGACGGGTGTCCCACGAGTTTCCCTTGGTGATTAAAGCCTGGTGCACTGATCACTTCTCCCAGTAAATCGATGACAATAGAACACCCCATCCCCCATATTCACAAACCAGTTCACTCAGTTCCGGGTATCGATGGTAAAACTGAGAGCTGCTCCTTCAGACAAATACTTCCGATTCTCCCGTCTGTGTGAGGCAGCCTTTAAGGATAAATGCACTTTAAACGTTAAAGGAAAATAAATCCACATTAAATGAGTTTCAAGACGCAAATTGAGATCCGTGAGGTTGCGACAGTCCTCGTTTGTTCACAGAACCTGGCACGGAGGTGTATCATTAACTAAAGATTTTCACTTAGGCCTTGTTCGGCAGCCCTGAAATACCCCCAACCCCATCTCACTGAACTAATAGGCACCTGGCTGCAGAAATATGAAACACATCTCCTGCTATCACATTGATTGACAGTCTCACCTCCTTAAAATCACTTCAGATAGAGTTATGGAGCCTCACCCAGTCAGTTGCTCTTGCCCTCAATTTCTAGCAGTAAAACCTTTTGACACTTTTGATGGTCAAAATGTCTTTTCAGCACCTTATGCTACCAGTTTTACACATTATCTACAGTAGGGAATTCACCTGCATATTATTAATAATGTATAGGTATGAATAAAATTGAAAAAATATGAATTATGTATCGACTGCATTTTTTTAGGCTATGATGTTCAGAATACAAGAAAACTGTTTAAACAATTTCGGCTGATTGGCTGGATTTGTAATTCTTCCTTACACTGTGATGGCATTTTTTACGGATATCTGAATATAATCCATAACTAAGTAAATCCTTGCTCTGGTTTTTCTTTAATAGAATGGCAATATAGAGAATCCATACTGCAATGGCATAGAGGGGATTTTAGAAGCCTACCACCAAAGCCTGAAGACAGTGCAGCTCTACGGACCCACCAACTTTGCCCCAGTTATTAATCATGTGGCCAGGTGAGTCCAGTCAGGTGTGAGTCTCTCCATGTAGCGACCATCACTGGAATCCAGTAGCATGATGCAATGAATGTTTTTGGCCCATTATAACCTTACCTGGGGGTATTATAGTGGTGTGACTTGAACTGACTTGTTCAGGAAAAGACCAGAATACGTTGCAGATGTCTCTAAAAGCGACTAGAATCAGAAGATGGTTGCTAACTAGCTGACTAGCAGAGCATGCTGCTTCAGAATCTCCTAAATAAGGAACATGTTTATTTAACGTTTAATTTAGTGACTCTCTTTGGTCAATAGGGACCCCCCAAAAATGCATAGTTTTTAGTGGTGCTAAACACTACTGCTGGTTGCACGTTGAAACATAGTGTTTGTGGGTAAAAGGCTTTGAACGAGCTTGATAAACACGACCAAAAGTAGAAAAAGGTCAATCAATTCGTATGATGACAAGGGATGAAAAGCCCCCCTCCCTTGCCCCTGCCAGAGTAAATTGTGCCCTGTCAGATTATGAATCCATTCCCCTCTCTAATTAAGATGTCCATCCCAGGGCTCCTAACCTGCCAAACTCCTGCTTTAATGCAGTTCACAGAACTGAAATAGAAATGGCACACAAACTCAACAGTAGTGTTTTAAAGATGAGAGAATAATCCAGGGGATTATTTATCTAGCTCGAAAGGTATTAAAGTTGTTGGCTGAAGATATGAAAATATTGTTTTGTTTTTTAAAAAAAAAATGCTCAGTACTGTTGGCAATATGCCATGGTATGAACCTAATGGACAGTGAGTTTGGGCAGTTAATATGTCAGTTTAAAACATTTTTGAATATAAATATACTAATATAGTAGCCTATAAACTATATATAGACTCCTATTCATGCATGCAAGCCTTTGAATTCACTGCCTGTTCTAGTTGTGCATGTCTATGGTGTTTGCAAGTTCTCCTGGTATCCTACAAACCAGAGACGTGTCAGATTAGGTTGTCTAAATAATCCCTTTGTGTGTCCTGTGATGATCTGGCATCCCTGTGCAGGTTTTACATGGGATAAACTCATTGGATGATTTCCAGTATGGGATCATGGCTCTCAGTCGATAAGTAAATGGAGGTTCCCCTCTCCTCTGTTAGGTATGCAGCAGCTGTGCAGGACGGGTCTCAGTACTTCGTCCTCCTCATCATCACAGATGGCGTCATATCAGACATGGCCCAGACCAAGGAAGCCATCGTCAACGTAAGTCACTGGTGAAACATCACCTCTCGTATCAGGTGGTGCAGAGAATTCTCACTGCTGCAGTTTGGTCTAGCATCCCTTCGCTCTTTTACATCACCGAATTTCATGCTGCAGATTCAATTTACAGATCCAGATGGTTGCTACCTGTATGTTTATATATCCGTGGTCTGAGACTGTTGAGCAGTGATGTGAAGTATCATGACAGGTATTAAGCAAAACATTGTTAGTCTCCAACTCTCCAGCTGCAGTGCTTCCACAAACGCCTGAGGGTTGTTGGTTCTGCACATACAACCTCAGGTTCCTCGCCCACGGAGAACCGCAGAGAAGGAATGTGCCCGTCTTCATCACCGGTGAGGTCAGGAGCCATCCAGCAGACTGGATTTAAAGGGAATTTGCGACTGTTGGTCAATCTGAGCAGAACAGCCACACCTTCCTTTTAAGATCTTGCCTGCTGCTCAGTCTCTCCCTGACAAGCCTCGTCTTCTGGCCCTTTGCTGGACAAAGTCATTTCACCATGCTTTCACTCAGTTTTTACCATGTTTCTGTGCATCTCAAAAGAATGGAAGGATGTTCAGTTTTAAAGAGGCTGCACTCTGAAAGCTCGCACGGAAGGACATATCAAAATATTTCGGCAAATGAAAAACTGGGTGGGGGGTGCAGGTTGTCGCTTGTTGACTTCTAACAGAAGTGTCTGTTTGAGTCCTTTCAAGACAGTCTTTCAAATGCCAATGAACACTTTTCCGTTTCCTGTAAAGACAGTCTTTCAAATGCCAATGAACGTTTGTTGTCAGGCCTGTCAGGAGCTCTGGTGAAAAACAAAGAAAAAAAAGCTGTCACTCTTCTTCTGTTCCACCCCTTCCTTTGTTCCTGTTTATTAGGCGGCAGAATTTCTTCTGGAGTGCGGCACTGTGGGGAAATGCCTCCGGCCCATGATGCCTCAGTGAACCTCCCTGAGCTTATGACTTCCTGTCAGGGTTAGGAGTGAACTGGGCAGTGAGGTCCGTGTGCGGTGTAGGTTGCTTTATGGAAACTGGTTGCTGTGGTGACAGGACATTCCAAGTTAGCTGGGAGGGGAGGCACCTATGGATTCTTAAAATGTATGTGTGTGTGTGTGTGTAGACTGCCTCATCAAAGCATGCGTGGCCTGTCCCCAGCCTCTACTCCAGGGGGCCTTTTAACTCTCTGACCTACTTGACGCCTCAGTCGTGTTTTGCCCCCCTCCCCCACCCGTGGCTCACCGACTGCCTTCTCGTCACCATCTTTCCCTCCACATCACATGGTCTTTGATCAGACTCTCATTCCTGTGCCTCCCCGGCACACACCGTTCTCCTCGTAATTGCTGTGGTTATTTTTCCACACCGAAATGTCTAGGTACAAATAGTCCCACATCTTAACAACTCTTTGACGCTCACACTCCATTAAACACCTTACTCGCAATATGTAAGTAACAGTAGTATGGCGTTAAATTAGTGCCAAAACTCGCGCGCATAAAAACCACGCGCACATATGCGCTCGCGAGCAGAAAACCCATGCTCTCTACGCGCTCGCGTTTGCACAGCACTCGCTCGCTCGGCGTTAAATTAGTGCCAAAAGTCAAACCAGGCGCGCGTGTGCGCTCGCGAGCTGAAAACCCATCCTCTCTATGCGCTCGCGTTCGCTGGACCCTATCTACGCGCTGGCGTCTGCGCAGCACTCGCTCGCTCGACAGGATGAATTTTGACCTTTGATTGGTTTTTTAAAATGTTGACTACGATTGGCAATTTGCTTTGGTAGAAGATGAAGATAACTTGTCACTGACCGATTATTTTTGTCTGTAATAGTTACTAATTATTATATTGCATCCACTTAAAGTGCAATGGAACAACAACTAAGGGGTTAATAGTTCTAAAACAAAATGGGACAGCCATGTCATATGGAGTATGCTTTCATCAGTGGACTCTGAGTGACCCCTTGGATTTTCAAGATCACTTTAAATGTGACGAAACACGTAATCAAACAATTCAACTGCGGTACATTTGCTTTGTCCCACGGTGCACAGCCTAAATCACACTTTACAACTTATTTATGGATTCATTTGTCAATCAACTTATTTATCAATTAACTGTCAATATGGATGAAATGGAGCAATGGCATGTAATATGCATACAATGTGTTAATAACTGTTAGAGAGAAAGGTACAGTATTCTGAAAATCCAAGGGGTGTGCATTGTTCCCTGTAGTCCACTGATCAAAGCACACTCCACTAGATGTGCCTGTCTTGGCTAGTTTTAAGGTTACTAACCCATTCATCTATTGTCCCATTGCACATTATACGGATACATTCGAACATTAAGAAATTAATTAAAATTCGTACGTAAAGTAATATGGGAAACAAAGGGGTGTGCAACAGTTGCCATGAGCCCAAAATGCTAAACCACCATGTAATTACATCTGAAAGAACATATAATATTAGGTATTAACACGATTTTGCACAAATCACGAAATGGTTTGAAGCGCAAAAATCGGTGTACTGGACATCACGATTCTGTCATTAAAAACGCCCAACCTTCTGTTAAAAGTTATTAAAGCCATAAAACTGAATATCGAATACGAGGCTAACTTAACCGCGGTCAGTGACAAGTTATTTCATCTTCTACCAAAGCAAATTGCCAATCGTAGTCAAAATTTTAAAAAACCAATCAAAGGAGGGGCGATATTAGCCACTGTTCCCGCCTCCAAAGCGTCAAAAAAAAGCTACCTCCCTTGACATTCTTCACTGTTTATTGTCATTCATAATTTACTGTTAATTGTTACTGTTTATTAGTGTAAATATGTGTGTTGTGCTGCTGTCACCGAGGATTTATCTGTATGTCTGTCTATCTATCTGGCTATCTGCCTCTCTATCTATCTGGCTGTATGAGCAATGAAAGTCAGGGAGATACTTCCAGGCGTTCTGGTAGTTTGCAAGTTTCGAGAACTATGCTT